TGGATAGTTGCCAATTCATATTAATCTTAGTTTAGTATGGTTTTCCCGGCGGTTGTTAAGCACGGAGGGTGCATTTGCAACAGTTACTCCGGTTTGTACGTAAACGCAGCTGCTTTTATAAGTTATATAAGTTGTTCGTGTTGCGTTTTTTTTTCTTCTGAGCTTTAGTAGAACATTGAAGACACTTGGTTTATCATCATCCACTAATATTTACTTTAGGTTAAATCAGGTTAACTTAGTTTAATGGAACCTACAGGGTGTTTCTGAAGTAAGTTTTGGAAGGTGTTAATTAGATCCAAAAGGGAGAATCGCATGGTGAGTAATACAGCGTGATTAAGGGACAAAACAATTTCTACGAAAACCAGAAGGGGCGTGAATTGTCTATAAAGTTATTAGTACACTGAGTTGCGCTAACAACTAAGTAGCTGTATTGATGGAAAATGTAAAAAGTACCCGTTGTGGAAATTCTCATAACGTAGATATCAATAGGTTACTACCACCCTATATGCTAATATAAACAATAATGTTTAGATGTCCAGTACAATAAGAAGTAATTAAACAACATCTTTGTAAATTACAGGGTAGGTAATTGTTATTATGTTATGGTAAGTTTCCAAACCAGCATTGAAGTATTACCAAATTCCCATTAGAAAAAATTCATTATATAACACCAGTAAGCAACTCAATAAAAAACTCAAAACTAAAATCTTTGCTTTGATTTATCCAATAAATACGCTACAAAAAACAAATATCTTCTATTCTCTTATTTAAATGGTCAAATTTCACAAAATATTAAAAACTCAAATATCACAGCCTCCTTCAGAACCAATAATACTATTGCAAATTTGATTTAGCATAAATGATCATAAGGTCGTCAGTCCTAAGACTACTTGGCCACACACTTCCACTTTTTCCTAATCTGAGCTAATCTTCGTATTTCCCTAAAAGTAGAATATCCCACATTCACATTTGTGTACAATAATCTTATCTAGGTCCACCTCTACTCCTTTTAACTCCTTTTTCTGCTTCTAATATGTCTCTAATTAGCCCTGCAAGCCTGAGAAGGTATTCTACCAACATATCTCGTCTGTTTCTTAATGACTTACTCATATCTAACATTGTCTATGCACGGTACCCTTTCGCTTGTGACACTACATTTTAGATGCTTTTAACTTTTTTCCCGCCGTGCCCACCGGCCAGCGCCTCGCTCAAGACATACACCCTTAAAAATATTTTTCTAAATCAACCGTTCGCGAGAATGAAGTGACTTCTTTTTGTTGAAGGCGACCCGATCTTGCCTTATCCTATGCTTTATATCTCTACAATCATTCCTTCCTGAGTTATCTTAGTTCCTATATACCTAAAATCATCCACTTCTAATTTTTTGTCTCCTATCTTTATATTCGCTGTTTCTCTACTTTTTCTTCCTTTGCATAGCAGTATTTTTGTTTTACCTTTATTTTGATAAACAACTGTTTTGTCAATACCGCTTCCATTCTATTTAAGGCTATCTGTAACCTTGCTTACTAGTGTGTGAGGATTGGATTGATGAGTGGTTTAAGCGCATAATGAAATGTAGTAGGTAATAGTTAAGGAAATTATTCTGAGAAAATAATTTTGCATCAGATTACACGATAATATTATTGAGCACTCTTTGGACCTTGCAAGATTTGCTTCCAAACTGTACAGTACAGTGGTTTTATGTTTTATTATTTAATTCCATATTTACTAGTCTCATAGAAGATTTCATGTACATATATTGGAAACGCTTTTCATTTTATAATACCTGTACCTTTGCTGTCCCTCTTGTTTTCTGCTGAATTTTACTGTATATTGCTTAATTCAAAATATGCAATCAGGTTGCTTTGCTTAACCGTTTCGAATATTTTTCTTCTAGCTTTATATTATTTTTATTTTCTTTTATAGAGTACGAAAATTTTAATTTTTATCATATAGAAATGGTAATTANCAAATATCGTCGCAAATAGCTAGATCAATAAACTAAATTGATAAATTAAATTAATAAACCGAACCAACAGACTAAATCAATTCACAACCAAGAGCCTTTCAGTGATATTAGATTATTATTGCCTCTTAATCAAAGAACATACACACGGATATTTTTCTTCTAGCTTTATATTATTTTTATTTTCTTTTATAGAGTACGAAAATTTTAATTTTTATCATATGGAAATGGTAATTATGTTTTTCTTTTGTTTTCGTGGAAGAGGGGAAATCTTCCAAAGATCACCCAGCCATCTATATGACCGGGTAGTGTCGGATTCCCGAGGAAGATGTCCTTGGACATATCGACTAAAACCTCTCTCCCTCAGGCTGTTGTAGGAACTATCGGTTCAGGTCTTCTTCAGTCGCGTAATAATGTCTATTCTTTTATTATTGATTAAATTAAATTAAAGATATTCCGTATATCGAACGGCATGACCTAAAGGTTTAGTCCATTGCTTGGTATTCGAGAGGACACCGGTTCGATTCCGGGTCCGTCTGCCCTTGTCCAAATTTTTATGTGGTTTCCTTGGATCACTTAGACAGATACTGGGGCAATAATATTCTACAGAATTATCTTTTAATCTCTTCTGTCTTCATTTCGTCCGTTTCATCATCCTCACCCCAACTCATTCCCGCGATTCCTAGAAGAAGGCTGAAGACAGCCTTCCGCCCTACCTCCCGGCGTAGTTCTGAGGGATTACCCGCCCAGCAACGTAATAGCGGATGAGAATGAAATACATAAAATTTTAGCTTTATTTTTTTATTCCTTACGTAAGGAACGACGTTGTTATACAACTTAGTGTTATCCTTTCTTTTACTTTCTTCTCGCGCAGATGGGCATAGTAATTCCGTTAGTTTCAATGAGTTTTCTCTTATCCTCAGTACCCATTAATGCTATCTTCTGGTTTACATAAAAATTTCGTCTCAAAAATACAATAACTTACAGTTTCAATATTTCCGAATAAAGAATATCATTTCTTACAAAAAATCAAACAGAGAAATTTCCAAACGGAATAATTTTTTATCGTGAAATCTTTGGAGTGTTTAAAGTTACAAACCTCTTTCAACTCGAGTAGAAAATGACATTTCATACCCACTGGGTCCAATCTGGTTTAAGAGCTTTTTCTAGAGACTATTTTAGAACTTGCTAGAAAGACTGTAAATTTTCCATTCCTCTGTAAATGTTTCGTCAACGTAATTCTTCTCGGTAAAAGAACGCCTGATAGCACCAATTTTATTTCTGTTTGTTGAGTTCCTATTCAAATTATTCAATTATGTATGCAAATTATCAATAAATGACTGTCCTACTTTTCACTTTTCAGCCAACTGAAGTAAAATAAAAGTGTTTGAAAACCGCGCTACAGAGAATTTAATTAATTATTTAATTGTTCATTTGTTATACAGGGCGTTCCTTCTAAAGCGGTTTCGTCCATAACTCCGCTATTATATACAAAAAAGTGTTTCTATAAAAGTGGTTCGGAATCATATGATACATATACATAAAATATTTTCAGTCATATAGGGTGTTCCATTTCTTCTGAACTCTACCTAATTTCGTTATTTTAAAGGGAATACCTTATATATTTTTACACTTTTGGTTTCTCTGTTTAATTTTAGGTCGGCATTGTTAACACTTTCTTATACTTACCTCTACTAGTTTTTGAGATATTTAACTGTTTTTGAAAAAAAAGATCCAATTTAGTTCTCTCAATCAGACCAAATCATCTAAATCATAAAAGCTTTTTAATTTTGCATCGAATGGTATCAATTAATATGGGTCATTCCATTCAAAATTATTCGTTTTGTAAGATTGTCAAAATTAGGTTACACATTTTCCCCATAGTAAAAAAGATACTGTAATTCTTGCTAAAACGAACTGTCTAAACCGCAGGCTTTTAGCTTTTATGGTTTAGATTATTTGTTCTGATTAAAGAGCTGGAACAGTATTTTTTCTTTTCAAAAACAGTTTTATATCTCAAAAACTAGTAGAGATAGATATAGGGAAGTGTTAACAAAGTCGACCTAAAATTAAACAGAGAAATGTGAAAATATATAGGGTGTTCCATTTAAAATAACGAAGTTACGTAGCGTCAAAAAGAAATGGAACACTCTGTATGACTGAAAATTTTTCTGTATATGCCCCATATGATTTCGGACCACTTCTATTAAATGTATGACACAGAGTTATGGACGAAATCGCCTTAAGTGTAACACCCAGTACACGGTAAGTGGCAGACCTCGGTCCAAGTTAAATACTAGACCGCCAAAATTTTTGAAAGTGAATTACTCAAATAAATTCTTTAAATACTTTTTTCTGTATATAACAAAGTATGTTTGAACTTTGAGCACCACCCTTCTAATTGTTTAGAGAAAGGAATATTCTTTTTTTGATAAAAATTTTCAAAAACACCTTACCTAAAATTACTTGCCGATATATGACATTGTTCTTATTTTTATTTATTTTCTTTAAGTCGTTTTTGTGGTCTTTTGTACGCCTATTTCCTATTTGGTATATCCATTTCTAGCCAGTGCTATCTTGATATGTGAAGTTATTCATTTCGGTTTGCCTATGATTTCGGTGTTCTAGTTCGCAGTTTAAGTCATTTATTTTAAGCTGTTTCTGAAATTTTGTATGTTTTAAACAGCATTAAGTGTTCAAAATGGAATTTCAGTACGCAATGGTTATTACTGTCTAATTTTTGAAAAAAAAAATATTTGATATCCCATAAAAATTTTTTATTAACAATTAAATATTTTTTCGGTGAATTTTTATTAAAAAAACCTGCAAGAACAAAAAGATAAAATTGACAGCTTTTGTCCTGAGATAGCGTTTTTTAACGATTGCGCTTATTATTTACCTGCTTAGATGCTGAAAACTCTTTAATAGGGTCCTTAAAAAGTAAAATTTAAAATTATTTCTTTTGTACATTTAACTATTTTGTCTTTCATCAAATGTTTCCTGCTAGATGCTAAAGCCTTTATCTCTTTTTCAGATTTCATTTATTTTCAACTTCAACTGAAAATGCCTCATCTTCAGTAATGACGGTATGAAAACAGCTACACTCTTCCTGTCATTTTTGTTAACAGCATTGGCCTCCAACAACACTTCATTGTTAAGAAAGGATCATGAAACTTGTATTGCGAAAATTTTGTCTAAACCCTTTCCTGCTCACAACCTCCCTATAAATATTACAAAAGAAGCTGAAAATGTTTTGGAAGAAATCAAACGAGTAAGTGATTCATTTGCAAGTATAATCATTACGTTTCGTTATTGATTTTGTTCTTTAGTTCTTTACCATATATAAAGTGTTGTAGAACAGGAGTCGGTTTATCATCAAACTTTCCTTAACGATTAAATTAACTCACAAAGCAAATATCGTCGCAAATAGCTAGATCAATAAACTAAATTGATAAATTAAATTAATAAACCGAACCAACAGACTAAATCAATTCACAACCAAGAGCCTTTCAGTGATATTAGATTATTATTGCCTCTTAATCAAAGAACATACACACAGGAAGAAAGCGAAACCGCTGTTTATAGTTTAGCGGAAGTTAAGTTTCCCTGTAACAGTGTCCATGTTTTTAACAAGTTGCGAACAACTAGAGAAATTTTTACACATCGTGAGACTAGTGTGCGCTAGGCCTTAATTTTGCATATGTAAATATGTTACCGGAAATGTAGGAATTGTATACAATTCTTAGGAAATGTGTACAATTCCGTGGCTATTTAGGAAATCTATTCCGTGAATAAAATATATATAAAAAACTAATCCTGAGTTAATCTTCACATTTCCCTAAAACTAGAACAATCTACATCCTTAACTACTTGTTCTCTAATATGTCTCTGACTAGACCTTCATGCCTGAGAAGGTGTCCTACCAACCTATCTTGCCTATTTTTTATTGACTTTCATAGAGTCCCCCGTTCTCTTATTCTATCTAATATCTCTTCATTTCTAATCTTCTTTATCCACAGTATCCTCATCATTCGCCTGTAACACTACATTTCGAAAGCTTCTACCCTTTCCTTTTCCGCAACGTCCACCGTCTATGTTTCGCACCCATACATCGCCGAGCTCCAAACATACACCTTTAACAATCTTTTTCGAATTTCTAAATTAACCGTTCGCGAGCATAGAAGTGACTTCTTTTTATTAAAGACGACACGACCCTGCGCTATGCTCTGCTTTATATCCCTACTACTCCTTCCGTCCTGACTTATTTGACTTCCTAGATATCTAAAATCAGCCACTTCTTCCAATTTTTCGTCTCCTATCTTTATATTCGCTCTTTCCTTACTTTTTCTTCCCTTGCATGCCATGTATGTATTATTGTATGCTTGTATTTTAGTTTCACTTTCATTTATTTTCATACAGTATTGTTTTGTCAATACCGCTTCCATTTTATTTAAAGCTATCTCTAACTCCTCCTTGCTAAATGTTAATACTGCTACATCATCTGCAAATCCAACCAAACTAATCTTTTGCCCCTGTATATCTATTCCTACAGTTCGTCTTCGATGTATAGATTAAAAAGCAGCGGTGACAGTGTGCATTCCCGTCTGACTCCCTTCCTTATATTTACTTCTCTACGTTGCAACTCTAGCTTTATAACTGCATGTTGTTCTTTATACAAACTGAGTATTACTCTTGTATCTTTGTAACTCATTCCTACATTTTTAAGTATATTTAACATCTTGTCCCATTTAATATTGTCAAAAGCTTTCTCTAAATCTAAAAATCCTATGTACGCACTCTTTCCTTTTTTTATCGTTTTCTCTATTGCTACACGTAAAGCTAGAATGGCTTCCTGCGTTCCCCTATTTCTTCTTAACCCAAATTGATCTTCTCCTAATAATTCTGTCGGAGCTACCTGCGACGCGCTGATGAGATCCAAAAAGATCGAAATCGCGATCCGCGTCTGGTAGTTTCGACAGAATACAGACCACTTCGAATTATTTTATTCGATTAAGCTAACGTGCCTATCACGTTGAGGTTGGCTACGCCGGGATTCGTTTTCAGCAAGTAGATATCCACACAAGTGGACCTTGTTGGAGCATACGTAATCCTAAAATGCAGCATCATACTACAGATGGCGTTTACTGCACCATTTGTAGTATTTTCTAAAACGCACTGTTAAGACAGCAGGTACAAGTTGGTCTGAGTTCTGTCGGTGCTACATGCGACGCGCTGATGAGATCCAAAAAGATCGAAATCGCGATCCGCGTTTGGCAGTTTCGACAGAATACAGACTACTTCGAATTATTTCTTCTCCTAATAGTTCTTTCGCCCTTTCTTCCATCCTACTCTGTACAATTCTAGTTAAGACTTTTGACGCATGGGAAGTTAAGCTAATTGTTCTAAATGTCTCGCACCTATCCGCGCCTTTCTTTTTAGGTATTTTACTACCACGTTCCGTTTAAAATCCTCGGGAACTTTTCCTGTCTCGTATATGTGTAAATATTGGAAAAAAATTCTACATACATAACGAATGATTACATTTAGATGTACAACTGATAGATACAGAAATAATGATTCTTGTGCAGGAAAGCGTCTATTTTGAAAAATAATCGTCATCTTGCGTCCATGGAACACTAGGATAATTTTTAAAGTTACAATTAATTAGAAACGAAAATCATACAAAACTTGTAGATTTTAATACTCTGCTATTAATACTTAAATTATTACTTACTAAAATTGGCAAAGAGCTACTTTTAGATACCTACTTTAATATCTTTAGTGAATTTATGTAAATATTGTAACAGGTGGGATTAAATCTAATATAGTAAGTTCCCTATCGAATGAACTGATGTTCTCAAATGTAGTCTATTAAAATTAACATTAGGTACTAGAAGGTAGATGTTACTGGGGTTAAAATTTCCGAAATTGTTAGTGGTTGTAAGACAATGAGTATTCGTCTTCTTATGCCGTTCGTCAACTTACCCTGATCTTCCCTATGCAAATTCATAAAAAATGGAATCATACGGGAGATGGTTGCTCTAACCAAAAAACAGGGTCTAACAGAAATAAGTGCCGAGATTGCAGAAGGTGACACAGCACTGTAAAACATGAAAATAAAGTAAATGGAAATTCACCGTTTTTCAGAAAAATGTAACAGTACACTTCGTTTAGTTTCTCTAGCGATGTGCCCTTTAGTTTGACCGGCGCAAAATAGAAAATAACAGCACTAGACCAGAAAAGAAAGGAGACAACTCTCGGCCAAACTCCCAACCGGTGAGGAGCGAATAATCCGTACAGTACTGCACGGAAAAGTTGACCATTTTATCCACTAAAATTGCATTGCTCGAATGTGTTGTTATTGGTATCAGTTACTACTCAAAATATCAACGAGATGTTTATTTATATTTGAAGACATATTAAAGGCTTTAACGCTTGTTTTCGACTCGCACTACTATTCATGATTGTCCTAAGACTGGTTGGACACGTACCTCCACTCTTTCCTATCCTGAGCTAAACTTCGCATTTCCTTAAAACTAGAACAGCCCACATCCTTAACTATTTGCGAACAGTAATCTAATCTAGGTCTACCTCTACCCCTCCTAACTCCTGTTTCTTCCTCTAATATGTCTCTGACTAGACCTTCATGCCTGAGAAGGTGTCCTACCAACCTATCTCGCCTATTTTTTATTGACTTCCATAGAGTCCTCTGTTCTCCTATTCTTTCCAATACCTCTTCATTTCTAACCTTTTCTACCCACGATATCCTCATCATCCGCCTATAACACCACATTTCGAACGCTTCTAACCTTTTCTTTTCCGCCGCTCCCACTGTCCATGTTTCGCACCCGTACAACGCCGTGCTCCAAACATACACCTTTAACAAGCTTTTTCGAATTTCTAATTTAACCGTTCGCGAGCATAAAAGTGACTTTTCTCCCTACATACGATTTTGGTAGACATTGGAAGAGGCACATCACTAGAAAATATAAACGAAATCTACAGATAAATTCAATTCCGGCTCTGATTAAGAAATACGGTCCGCAGTGCTGCTCTTAATCGTCTGTATATTATCAGCATCACTATAGTATTTGTCTTTTTTTGATCATGTGTTTTCTATTTGTTGCATTAGTCAGTAATACAACATCAGTCATTAGTGCATTTACGAATTTAAATCTTATTGCCGCTGTAGGGACGAAATCTTCGATTTCAAATAAGACAATCCTCAAGATCGTACACGCGAAATAGCAGGGCTTGTTGGCTCCTCTTATGTGATAGTGAATGGAGGTAAAAATTAACTATTACCTCCGATTTCGGTGAACCTCCATCGATTTGCATGAAAATTTGGGATAGAGTTTATTTTACCCTTAACTTCAAAAGTGACATATGCTCGACTTGCGCTTTTTGCATTTTAGGGGTGAAATCCACCCCTTTTGTTAAAAATGGGGAAAATGCAGATTTAAGCATTCTGGAGTAAGTAATCTCGTTTAATTAGATAAATTAAATACTTTTTTAACAGTTATATGCAGTATTTATGACTTTAATTAATTTTTCAACCCTTTTAGCAACCACCCCTTAAATCGAAAATCATGAAAAAATCATTTTTTCATCATGTATGTTTTGTGAGCATGTACCTATCGACACGTCTACTTC